ATGTCATTATTTGCAGGCTGGTTGTCTTGATGAGAAAGTCCTTTTTCATGTCTAGATTAATTCAAATTTTTATTATCTTTTAAATAGAAAATAATATAAACATTTTCACTATTTCTGAACTGTATTCAATTATTTTCCACAATTTCTATTTAAATTCCAACTTTATTTCAATTTAACAAGGAACTATATGTGTTTTTATATACCTGGACAAATATAAATATTTATAAATTATAAAAGCAAAGCAAATGAGAACAAAGGTTTATAAAAAGAATAAGACAAAAGTTGGTATCTTTTCTGTTTCACACTGAAGAGTTTACATAGAATCATAATTGAAAGTTTAATGTTTTCAATCATATACATAGCTGTTTATGTGTGAATATAACATATGTATTCTATATTATTGGTTATGTTGTATAATTTTACTTAGTTGTATATTCTGACACTTTACAGTGCATATTAGTACTTAACTGAATGAAGCAACACAGCCATTTTTAAATGTGGAGTATAAAAATAATATTGAATGATGTCTTTTACAAAACAAATAAAAAATGTAGTTATCTTAAAGATATCATATTGAAAAGATAATTTCAGAACTAGAATAATATAATGACAGAATAAAACCATTAATAGTAATGAAAACAGTATCATAAAAGCAAAGTGAGAGACAATAAAACTGAAGAGATGTGTTTCAGTAAAATTACTTGAGCTTTGGAAAATAGTTCAGAAAGCCCAAGAGAAGGCTCCCATCTGCCCAAACAGCAAACTATAAAGATGTCAGAGGGACTGTGAGAGAATTGATAGATGTGTAGTGAGGAGTGCTTGGAGTAAGTCTGAATTAACACTTCAAAAGTGATAGCTCACAATTAGAATTAGACAAGACTAACAGTCAGCATAGAGGCTCCTATTCTTCCCACAAAAGAAGTTGAACTTAAACTACACTAGTAGAAGGAGAATTAATAGTTCTCTCTATACAGACCATGTAGACAGAAGACTTCATACAGATAATGTTTCAGGCTCTGCAGTTCTCAAGGTGTCTGCCCAGGCTGCTCAGTTCCACAGATGTCCTGACACCGTAGTAGAAAGACATGATTACATTCCAATAAATCTTTATAAGTACAAGGGCCCTGAATTTGGACTTGATTCTATTTTGGAAAATAAACTGAGGAATTTTAGAAGGCCCCAAAAGGATAATTAGTATATGTCAGGGCTGAAGTTGTCACACAAGGGTGATTAAAGAGAGAACAGTTTGACCTAGAAAGGAGACAAAACCTGTAACTAATATATATTCTTGAGTGCCCTTGCAGACAAGATACTGTTCATTTCTTCACTTAATAAAATTAATTTGATCTTGGGCTTTCCTTACAGTGCTTGGCAACATGTGTGTCATTTTATATTCTCTTCTCTTTGAACATCAGTTAAAGCAAGGGTTCATAGGTTGCCAAAAAATATGATGGGACTCTGGTCTTCAGAGAACTTTCATTCTCAATAAAAAGACTTGTTACCTAGAACTATGCAGCCATATCACAGGCAAGGGACTGCTACCTCTGTGGTCATCTCATGTACCCTACCACATTGTCCATGGGACCCCTCACTTCAAGTCACGAGGTTCTTTACTGCTGGTCAAACCTATGACCTCAAAGTGAAATGAGAAAGACTCCTCCATGTCTCAATGTTCTCAGAGTCAGAAAAAATTCTAATTATCTCTCTATTAGACTCAGGTACCTCATCCCCTTTCTAGAAGCATCGATTGATTCAATGCTGGAAATGTAGTGAGACAAGAAACACATGACCTGACCTGAAAAAGGGCCTCACAACCACCTCTGGACTGTATGTCCACATAGGAACTTTTGGTTATCATGAAACACATTTTAAAATCTGGAGGTAGACAGGAAGAATATGACAATGAAAATTTGTGTCAAATGCCAAGAGTCTTGGAAAGCAAGGAGAATGGCACAAGTTAAAAATGACATCTTCACATAGGATAGATAAGAAATGTATCATTTTATTTCTTAAATATTAATCTCCATTCAAGACCTTCTATTCCAGTTATAGATGCATGCACATGTCACACACACACACACACACACACACACACACACACACACTTTTCCATAACACAAATGTATCATGTCAAACTCAATATAATATTTAAGGTGAATTTTTCAACCTATCCCATCCTTAGAATTGATCCATCACTGTTTCCACAATGCTATCCAATCAAGGAACCATCTTTTATCTCCTCCTCATACATTTAGTGATTCATAAGGCCATATTTCTCCCCAGAGCATGTCATCTGTGTCATCATGGTATCCAGTTCACCAGGTCCTGTTTCTGGCCCCAGTCATGGATCCCAGGACACTCAGTTATGTGGCTTCATTGCTGTTACTGCCTTTCCTTGCTTTCTACAATGTCTCATGATTCCAGGGTTAGCATCTGAAATAAAAACCCAGTATCTCCTTCCTACAGAAGTATTAAAAGCTTATGTTGCCTTTAGAATAAAACTCAGACTTAATGGCTAGATTTTGTGACCGTATTTCATATTTTTTGTGAACTATCTTTTTGACATTTCATTCCTGGCTATGTTCCCCAACCTTCAAACAGCCTGATCAGCTACTCCAATCAAAACCTCAGCTAAGCCTTATTTTTCTAACTGCATCCTCAAGGCTGAAGGAGTGCCACTCTGTGTATCTAGCAACATACAAATGCATTTTCTATGGAATTTTTCCAGTTGTGTCAGAGCTGTTCCCTCAAGATTGTGGGCTGTTTGTAATGTGAGCTGTCCCTTACATCTTGATGACTTGGGACATAACAGAGGATCAAAGTACTTATGTAGCTAATAACTATATACAATGTATAGAAGTAATAAATACCTAAACAATGTCTAGTCCATTTGTATTTGACAAGTTCAGAGAAAATAATTCCATTATCCTATTTTGGTAAGTCCAAAATGTACCTAATTCACTTTCTATCCTAATCTTCAACTATAACTAACTAATCTTCAACTCCCTCAGAGACCCAAGAAGGAAATAATATTACCTAATAAAAAATAACAGGAAGTGCATGCAAGCAGCTTCCAAAAAAAATGTGAGTTGACAGAAACAGCCAGCTGCCTGGACAGTCACTGAGATTTCTCCGCAGTGCTGGGGCATCATCTTCAGCCTATAGGCTTAGTGTATCTGGCAGACTCATTTGTGAAGTAGGATGTACACAAGGTCAATAGTTTGACCTCACATTGGGTGAGAGCAGTCCGTGTACCAGAAACACCTGAATTCCACTAGTGTCCTGTCATGATTCAGGATTTTAAATTCTGGAAATTGTTGATGGTTTTTTAATTCAGCTGTCCATTCTTCTTGGCTGTGTATATATGGCTTCATCTCAGCATCCCATTCTTCTCCATATCCCTCTATCAAATGCCAGTCTACTATTGAGAGGCGTGAGCTTAGTTACTCTTCAAGAATAACTGTTTCAGCTGCTGTTCCATTGCACATCAGAAGCCATCAGCCCACTGCCTGTTCAGCTGCTTTCGAAGTTATCCTGCTCCTGCTCAGCTCCCGAGGCCCTCAGACCCAAGCAAACACACGGAGACATATTATTTATAAACTGTACAGCCTAATGGCTCAGGCTTCTTGCTAGTTGTTCTTATATCTTAAATTAACCCATTTCTATACATCTATACCTTGCCACGTGGCTCGTGGCTCACCAGTACTTTACATTCTGTTCCCCATGGCGGTGGCTGGCAGCATCTCTCTGCCTCAGCCTTCCACTTCCCAGAATTCTCCTCTCTCCTTGTTCTGCCTACACTATCCTTCCTGCCTGGCTATTGGCCAATCAGCATTTTATTTATCAATCAATCATCGCAACATACTTAAGTTCTTGAGGAATCTCATCTTGGTAAAGTAGAATTTGATCACCTTATTGAACATAAAATCCCTGTGAGAAGTCTCCTTCTTGTCCACTGCCTCTGCTAAGTTTCACTGTAGCACTTTTAACCTACATATTACTGTATTTTACTTAATTGTTTTGCTTGTTATAATTCTCCTCTGACTGAATATAAAGTCTTTTGGTAAAGAAATTGTTGTCAGCTTCATTCATTACTGTACCCCAAACTGGCACATAATAATATCCCAATAATTGTGGCTATAAAAGGCATACACTATTTGAGTCTAGATTATAGTATATTTTCACTTAATAGTAATAAAAAATTTAATAGTTCCTATATCCACTTTGAGATGTCTAAGATTTTTGTTTCTAAAATTTCAATAGCCTCTGTGTAGATAGGATTTAAGGAAAGTATACTAAGTGGGAGAGGATAAAAGGCACAAAGCTACACAGAGAAACCCTGTCTTGAAAAACCAAAAAAAAAAACTTTTCAAAAAACTATTATCTTATGTTATGTTGTATGCTTACTTGGTAATGATTTAAGAAATGTTTGCTATACTAGGAGTGTTCTAGAATGCCTATGAAGCAAATTCTTTGTCAAGGGTCTTACACCATTCAGCACTATTGCAGCCCCAACTCAGTATATTTAGGGATCTGTGAAGATAGTCTTTCTGTAGCAGAAGCTCCTGAAATGGAGAGAAAGGACAAAGCTGATGGTGCACTCAGGCAAAGGCAGAAGTAGGATTCCCTTTGCTAGGATTGACTTTAGCCACTTGTGATTAATAAATCTCTCCAGTGATTCTTAAAAAATGGTAGTGGATCTACCCTAAGCCTCCTGATACAGATATTTAATGAAATTCCAAGTGTATGAAACAGCTGGCCCTGGACTCCCATCACACACTGCATTGGAGACCCAGTGCTGTGGACCATGGTCTTCTATAACTGTATCCAGGTGGCCATTCACATGCTTCTCTATGCATCTGTGATTCAACTCTTGCTGAGGAATATCGTGGTATTTCCTGTGTGATGTAGTCAGGAAAATCTGTCATTGTGGGTAGACTAACTTTGGAGCAACATGTCAAGTGCTACCTCATAATGGTACTTTTCTCCATCTGTTACAGATCAATGCACAAACTGGCCCAGCTGGAAAGACTTGACCTAGGCAATAATGAATTCAGTGAGCTGGTAAGAAAACATGTTTCCTAAACTTGTCAAATAGGCTCCAGGAGAATCTTTCTGTTGTGTTTTCACAACCCCAGGCATTAAAGCATTGAGTGCATATGTATGTTTGCTAAACATTAAAATAATGAAAGCTAGGCATTATATTGATTGTTTGACTATGTAATAAACCATGGAAAACTGTATATTACATATCACAAAAAAAATTCAGAATTAGAGGAGGTGTGTGTTGACAATTTAAGTACCAACTGTATGGAAGGAAAAAACAAGTGTGTTACAAGCTTCATGTCAGCTAATCCTCAACTGACATGTGGTCATCTTCACTTTATGTAAATGAAACTGAAGTGGTAACTGATACGTAACTGTTATGCTGCTGCACAAAGGTTAAAAGGGTTTGTTTAGAGCTCACACCTTGAAGATTACTATGATGGTTGAGAAAGTTAGCCCGAGTCAGTACCCTCCCAGTTGTAATGAAAGTGCCTTTCCCATGAAGAAATGTTGATGCCTCACTGCCTGCAAGATTGGCAGTGTTCTGACAGCCATTTTCCAGCTTTTTTTCTTTAAAGTGTGCCCAAAGACCAGAATCACAAAGTCCTTTGTAAAAAAGTCCCAGCATACTGTACGCAGAAGTTTCCCTTTAGACATTGTCAAGTCTCCAGAACCCAATGTGTCTATAGTTAAATAAAGGCCTCTGACTAATCAATCAGCTTTCCCAACCCTTCATTGACAGATTTGTGGAAAGTCACTTAATCTCTCTGAGCCCTGTTTTCCTGATCCATAAAATGGGGTTACAGTGATTGCTGCCTCAAAGGGCTTCTGTGAGAATTAAATTGAATAACGCATATATAAGACCTGGCAAATGTGCTCTCAGACAGTACCCCTGTGCAAGGGTAACAGGGTTTTCATTCATGCTATAAGATAATGCATGAAGAATATTCATTGTTTTATTTTAACCATATCCAGCAAGTTATTATGCTACCCTTTCAGGCTGTCTCTCAATGGCAGAAACAGGTTTTTTATTTGCCTGTGATTAAAAGCTTCAATCTGTCCTTAAATAAAAATTCCCTCCCTAAAATGTCTTCCCTTTCACTGCTATCTCCATCCTGAAGGAGGAACTGGAATATGAACCAAGGTGGTAACTTGTCTTTGTGTCCTGGATGGAAAGGACTCCTGGTCTGGGACACTTGCAGTGTGCCGGCTGCACATGTTGCTGCTGGGTTCTTGGTCTACAGACACTGAGCCATGTCCTACAGAACATGTCTCAGAAGCCAAGCACTGTCCTTTTCCCTCTTACATGTACTGCCATACCTAGCTCTCCTTCCATGCTCCCTCCAGAACCAACCCAGTCTCCATTTTTGTTCTTGCCAACCATCGCCCAGTAGTGACTCCATAGTCAGACAGACTGCTCTGAGAATCCTCTGGGTATGCAACTGAGAAAAGCCTAGGAAAGGCAGATATCACAGATTCCATCTGTCACACTATGCTATCCAGTTTACTATGCTTAAGCACAAAGTGAGAGAACTGGCCTGGTCTAATGTACACTGGCATGTATTTTTCCTCTATTTTTTAAAGATATTTTTCTATGTGTGTATGTGCACACACCTAAGTGTAGTGCCAGAAGAGGCTGTCAGATCTTCTGGAGCTGAAGTTATAAACAGTTGTGAGACATTTTACATGGGTGCTGAGAACTGAACTTGGATCCTCTATAAGAGCAGTAAACATCCTTAACCACTGACCTAGTTCTCCAGCCCTGTATCCTGGCATTAAGGAAGATATGTGTGGTGGGGACAGGGATTGGTGAGGGTGGTAAATAATAAATAGTTGTGAAGCTAGGAGTATATACAGATGGGTTTGAAGTTAGTTGCTAGGGCTCTAGGGAGGGCCCTGCTTGCCCTTAGCACACATGTCTTGATGTCATGGGAGAAAGAACACAAACAACAATTGAGGTCTTCACCTCACTTTGTAACTGCATCTTCCTCACCATTAAAATAAGAGCATTACTCCCATGCATTTTATGGGGTTTGGGCAAGTTTTCATATACAAAAATTTGCAATAAACATTCCATATATGTGTTGAAAATTTTCAGTCACCAAGGACTTTGCAAGCTTTTCACATGGATATATATCAATCAATACCTTCTTTAAAGATCTAGATCAACAAAGATGACTAGTTAGGGTTTCTATTGCCATGGAGACACCATGACCATGGCAACTCTTATAAAGGAAACATTTAATTGGGGCTTACAGTTCAGAGGTTTAGTCCATTATCCTCATGGCAGGACACATGGCAAAACACAGGCAAACATGGTGGTAGCTGAGAGTTCTACATCTGGATCCCCAGGCAGCAGGCAGAGAGTTAGACACTGGGAATGACTTGAGCATTTGAAACCCCAAAACACACCCCTTGTGACACACTACCTCAAAAAAGGTCATTCCTACAACAAGGCCATACCTCCTAATAGTGTCACTCCCTATGAAACTGTAGGGCTCATTTTTATTCAAACCACCACACTAGGATATGTTTGTTTTTATGAAATTATACTTATTGAAAGGTGATTTATGATTACTACAATGTAAGCTCCATGATATGTAATAAATCATACTCTAGATCAGTGGTTCTCAACCTGTGGATCACCACAAAGATTATTGGAAAACATAAATATTTACATTGTGAATCATATAACCAGCAAAATTATAGTTATGAAGTAGCACCAAAAATAATTTTGTAATTGGGGTCACCACAACATGAGGTGTATTAAAGGGTTGCAGTATTAGAAAGATTGAGAAGCACTGCTCTAGATGAATAGTTTTATTTTTTGATAAGTCAGTGTTCCACACTGTCATCACATTTCTCAGAAAGAAATGTTGGCATATGCTCAACAGAGTTGTTGGCTCCACAGCTCAATATTCGACTGACGTCAACATCTCAATATTATTCTAAGTCATGTGGCTTTTGTTTTAAAAGTTCTTGCACATGTTTAGTTTCTTGTTAAGCACATCATCTTTTTGGTTGTATTTATAAATGTCTCCTTCAACAATTATAGTAGTCTCCAACTTCTGACTGCAGGAATTTAACTTGTACATAACTACTAAACCTGTTTATTAAAAATATTAACAATTTTCTACAGATTCTTCAGGAATTTCTCTGTAACCATTCAAACAGTCTATTGAATAAATTGGTTTCTTGTTCCTAAATTTTTAAACAATTTATGCCTCTAAATCTAATTAGATAATTTTCCCTCCAATATGTTAGTGCTGGAGGTTTATGGAAAGAATTTCCAACATAAAAATCACCATATAATCTATTCATTTCAATACCATTCTGGGTTTTTTAAACTTGTGCTCATAGCTCTAATTACATACATTACTCTGTCTACTTTGTGGGTTATTTTTATTCATCAATTTAGGGTAATTTCCAGCCCTTATTTCTTTAAAATTATCCTCTAATCTACTTATGTTCTCTCTTGCTGGAATTTGTTAAATGTGAATGTAAGCAAGAAATTGTGCATGCTTAAGAAATGCAAGCTACTTAGTTAATTATTTTATGCATTTCATGAAAAGTACCCTGACAAGGAATGATTTTTAAATATATATTTCATTTCCTTAAAAACATGCTTCCTTTCTCCCTGCTTAGAAATATCCAATATACATTCTCCAACATTTAGATCTTTCTGGAAGAATCACTGTGGGAATACTTGCAACTCTTTAAAATTATGTGTGATGTTCCACTTGCTAACAGAAACCTGCTGAACAGTTGACACTAATATTCTGGATTAAATGTAATTTTAAAAACAACTAATTGAAAGCAGCAACAACGTGTCAAGAACAAGAGAAATGTATTATCTATGTAGGAAAGACCAAGACTTAATGTTTTGCAAACAATGCAAAGGTGGATTGAATTTATCATCTTAGTGAATTCATCCAAAAATTAACAATATTTGACTAGTGTTTCAAAAAATATCAGAAAATATTTTTAAAACAGTTCATAAAATAAGCCACTCACAGATACATTAAAGAATTAACATTCTGTGAAACTTCGTTATAAAAAAATGTAAAGAAAATATTCTATGAACTACCATGCAAATCCCTAGTGAGGCTGAAAGTTCAAGTTAACAAAGAGTTTTCATCTAGAGATTCAAATAAACTTTGCTTCTGTTTTGTTTTCTCTCTTGATTTTATAAAATTTTAAAATGAGCATTTTAAAAATAAATGAAAATTCTTAGGTTGGGGATACCTGGTCCATATAACTGAAAAGAACAATGGTTTGCAGACTACGTGATCAGTTAGAGTATACAATGAATATATTCTCACAGAAATTTGAAATTGTTCAGTACTTTTCTTAATGTATTTACATTTAATTGAAATTGGCTGTACTATTAAACTAATTTTATTAAAAGCATGACAGTAAATCCATCCACTTCCCTAATTTTCCCAAGGTTTGCTCATTTTTAATTACATAAGATACATGCTCACCTGAGGCAAGCAGCTTTCACGTACCTATTCAGTTCCTCCATATGTAATTATAACATGTTTCCTACATCCAATCAAATTTTGCCAATTGTTCTCTTAGTAAGATTACTTTAAAAGAACAAAATAAAAATGAATCATTATATAACAAGCCATTATACCTTACGGCAAAGTATTTGAAACTTGAAGCATCCTGATTAGTAATGCCTCTATTTCCCTGCATGTGGAGAACTACTAAGAATTTGAATCACATACACATCAGAGACATTGCCAGAAGTTATTAACCTAACAAGAAAACTTGAGAACTGAAACTCACTTTGACTGTTATTGCAAGTTCATCATTGTCTGTCTCAATCAGGAGTGCCAGGGGCGCAAACTGTATCAATTGTTTCACAGAAAATTTTAGAATAAAGAGTTGCTAATTATGCCATGGAGAAAAGAAAGCAGAGGAGAGGACACATAAGTGACAGCTCCAGGAAGCGGCTTACATCAAACAGAACAGAACAGGTGAAGAACACTGAGAACCTGAAGCTGAGAATG